TAACTTCTATCTTTTTTACATTTTCCAGCAGATGAAAATAATGAAGGGACCTTCCCTTATCCCGGTACTTGGATTGTTGTAATTTTCTTCATTATCATAACTTCATTTGTTCTTGGATTTATTTACCAAAGACGACGGTGAGAAGCTAATGTCCATAATTTATTTAAAAAAACTTGAAAGCGCAAAAACTATTTTCAGAAATATTTAGAATTTTAAAAATTCTGTTCAGTCATCTGTTCCTTGTTTTTAAATATGTTTTGTTCCTCAATATAAATTAGTGTGACTGAAATGCACATAATGAGATCCTGTGTGTTCCTGTTTTTCCCGACTTATTTCCTGCTGAATGGTTTATTCTATTGAAACCATTCAAGATTCTATTTGTTAAGAACATTCTGGAAATGCTCACTATGTGTTTTGGTTTTTGTACCATTTATGGTTCTTTAAATATTGAGTTTTATTTATTCATTAGGATACATTTGGAATATGCCAGCCGTTTGGAATTAATCCAACACTGCCCCACTGTGACAACTTTGTGAACATTCTAAGACTTGCAAATGATTTACAATGATACAGTATTTATTAATATATTTAATAATAATCAAATTAATAAATTAAACTTGCAAGTAAAAGTCTATTGCATTTCATCCACACTTTATTTTTGTACAAACATTTTACAATCATCTGAAATTCACTAAATGCAGCATTATCCCAGATTTTATGCTGCATTTAAAGTTTCATACAAACCAAGAAAGGAGCTCATGTTTTGTCTCACTTTGTTTCACATTATAAGAATAATTTTGATTAAATTTTTCTTCCTATGGACCAGAAACCCAGCAGAATCACAGAGCAGTCATCCAGCTGGGGTACTGTACAGATAAAAAGTCTCATGTTTACTGTTTACTATCAGATATTTTAACAATTATTTTTACAATATGTCTTCTTTTCTAGGAGCTACAGGAGATTGAGCCGTACAGCACCTTCACTCAGAAGGAAAATGGACTTTATTTAACCGTCAAATTTCTGAAAAGGAATACTAATGACTGAAATCCTGTAACTTGATCTGACCTTTGTTTCAGGAAGGATTTAAGAGGAGAGAAAATATGTTTGTTGTTTACAGTATATCTCTGTGTTCATAAAACTATCAGTTCATTTATTCAGTCAAGCTTTCTGTGGCTGATTTAAAAAATGTGATTCCACTGGTTCAATGTCAGCTGCTTTCTTTTTGGTTCCAGAATGGCCCAAAAAACCACAGAGTCATCCTCTTTAGACCTTGTGTGTCAGCCTTGAACAGAACGTGTTGAGGTTTTGAAGGACAACATCATGAACATGAAGGCAGGCCAGCATTCAGAGCAGCTTTGACTTTAAAAAGCTCTTTTTAACAAGCTGTAAAACTTTGTAACACTGCGCAAATAAACAACAAGTAAATCAGTGCAACAGCTCCTTTCAGTTTCTGACAGACACTGTCTGTGGCAATATTTACTGTACACAGTGAAGCAATACAGTAATTTGTGGGATTATGACAAAGAGGAACCTGAGTCAGACATGTCAGATTCACTATAAGATTTGAAGTTTGGCTTCTCACACCAGGGATGGTTTTTCCTTGATTTACAACACCTATTTTCAAATAATGATACCAGTTTGTTCAGGTGTTTATTCAGTTCTTAGTGTTCCCAGCAATTCATACAACAACRAACTGAGGTTTCCAAAGTGTCTTTTACCACATTATGAAAACAAGACATTTGATTTATTTGAAATWCACATTTAGGGCTAACAAGTGGACTTATTAATAAATTTATGTTTAAACAATAAATAATCTCTCTGGTGACTTAGATCATAATTAGAGCCTAACTTTTTATGTCTTCAAAAAATATTGACCCTGAAAGAGTTTTTAGTAACAAGTTATTCCTCGACATCAGTAAAACCTTCACTTCTTTTTTCCAAAACACATGTCAGGCAGGATTAGTTTAGTCAGACACTGATCTTTACCTCACTGAAACCATCAATTTAGTTTGTAACTGGGCCTTTACAAACCAAGTGTGAGCTCACCTCATGAAACACATAATGGTGAGGTGTGGTAAAACAGGACATCTTCTGACCATCAATAAGTATTACTAATTTAAATTTAAGACACCATTATAACGTGTCAACAGTCCTGACACACAGGTTATTCCCGTTGTACTGAGGTATYAAAACCAGATTTAAACCAGCTAAAGTTTCTGTTCTGAACAAGCTAAGCTAGTTAGCAGGTGATACACAGAGTGAGAGGGACTTTTTCTAAAGTCTTTTTGCTTTGTTTGAACTTATATGTTTGTAGAAAAACCTAAAGACGATCCAACAAAAACTTTTTTTAAACCAATTGTTGACTTATAACAGTGTTTTTCAAAGTGGGGGCTGCTGGGGGGGTACCTCAGAAAGCTAAAGGGAAGATGAGGGGAAAAATGCAAAGACTGAAACAATTATTCTAATAAATATTTTAAATCATCATGAAATTAAATGGTTTCCAATTTTTTATATAATTTATAATGCTTTTTCATGCTTTTAATTATTGAATGGTGGATAAAGTGAGAAAAACAATGTAAAAGTTGATGTTTCTTCCCATATTTTGTAGCGTTGTTTGTGGGTTTGCAACAAGAGTCCTCGGTCAGAAGCTGATGCTGTTTGGAGGACCATGGAAAAGTTTGGGAATCAATAACCTATAAGTCTCTGAATGGACGGACTCTTGTAGACCTGTCTGACCTCCTGCAGCCCTATACTCATTGGATCTAATGACCAGTTTCTCTTAGTGGTCCTGAGGTCCAGGCTGCTCCACATAGATGATCAGGTCCTAAACTGTGGAACCAGCTCCTTCAGATTAAACTTTAAATTTTGTCTTAAAACACATCTGTTCTCACTGGCTTCAGTACAAAAGAAGAGTTGACTTTAAATTTTTTTATGTTATTTTACATCTTAGATTTTTAAGTTTGTTTACTGTGTTTTTTATTATGTGATACAAATACACTTTACTTGATACCATTTGATGATATAATGATGTGATGAACAATTTCACATTTAAACAGTTGATTTTCTGCTTCAGTGGCCTGAATGCAAATCAGCTTGTCTTTATTATCTCTCTTAAAAGAACGATATTATGTACAGAAGTTTAAAGTCCTCTTCCCTCTGTACTGCACATGCATTTAATGCATAAATAGTATTAAATGATTGATAGGGTGCAGTAATAAACAAAGATCTGCCTTATTTATTTCCTCTTAACAAGGATTATTTTAATAGTGCCTTGCAGCAGCATTAAACTTTTTATTTTTACTTGCAGAATTACTTTGTGTTTTAGCCAAAGCTATAATTCACCACTAAATTGCACTTCATACATCTGCAATCACATTTTATCTGTTATCAGTCTCAATTCCTTGGTTGCGTGTCTGAACAGCATGGATCCACTTTCACCTCATTGCAGAGACACTTTGGTAAACAAGTTTTTTCTTGATGTCTTTTAAGTTTGGTGTTTCCCGACAGACATTTTTTTCTTACAGAGGAAGTCAGAGGTCAAGAGCCTGTGGTTTGAAAGRCCCGCTGCTTCACTGACACAGCAGGTACTTCCTTCTTTCATGTCGTCTGTAAACAACACACGTCTTGCACTTTAATACGTGACAATACTAAAAGATCATGACATGTGCAAAGTTGCAACCATGTCAGGTCATTTAAGTCGAGTTAATCTGCAAGACCAAGAGATTGAAGAGAATGAGTCAGCTGCAGGTTCAGCATTTCAAAGTTCTGCATTTTATTAACCGTTCCAGGTCCAGTGACCCTGCCCAGCTGTCAAAACACATTGAAACTTGGAGTCAGTGAATCACCCTGAACCGAGAGTTTAATGACCTTTGTTACACTTGACAGCATTATAAAATTTTTTAGTATTTTTATAAAGATCCAGCGATTTGGAATAAAAAAAAATCAAACACCATCTCCAGAATTTAAGCTTTGCTTAAAAATTTCTAATCCTGTATCTTAACTAGGAATGAGAATGGAGAACATAAAATAATCAGATAATGATTTTGTGTTAAATTATTTTTATAGACTTATTTCAACTTTGTAGAACCTGAAGAGGATAGGAGGTGCTACACAAGTCTAGATCACATTTTATACATATACAGGCTTGGGGCACTTCAGTAGAACAATGTGACTTTGAAGGAAACATGGAAGTCTGAATAATGTTGCAAAAAATGATTTGATTCTGTTTAAAAACTTTATTCTGGTCTCTGACTCCTTTCAGCCCCACAGCAGCTGTTAAGACAGAAAGGCCATATATAAGACAATAACTGTTTAAACCATATGGCTGCACTGATCAGAAAGTACAAAAATACAAGACTGTACCTTACATTTTGTTAACTGGTAATACAATTTCCTTCAACTTAAATGCTGTGATTTTCACCATGAAACTTCTTGAAATGAAGGTTTACAAAAAGAAATTCAAAACACTCAAGTTTGTCATTTATCACTTCTACATCTTCAAACCCATAATTCAGCCAGGTTCAACGTTCAATATGAATCCAACTTGTTTCCCCTAAAGGTCATTTTGTATAGAATTTACTGACAGGAAAATACTGTCATCTGTGAATTTACAAAAAGGCAATAAAATGCTTTAAGAACAAATAACAATACAAAACAGTTAAAAAAAACTATTATAACTCTGATGTTTATTAATAAAGCTGTCAAAAAGATGTCAAGGTTTTAGAAAGTTTTCTGACTCACATGCAAAACACTCTCGGAAGCAACAAAGTTTTAAGATGTTTATTTTAAATGAAAATGATCTTGGTCCAACGTGGTCCTGCAGACGCAGGGCAGGGGGTCAGGAACACTGGTGAAGGACGAGAGGTGATGAGACCAGGAAATATATATACATATATAGTAAATACAGAAGAACAGGAGCTTAGCTTACTATGAAGATGAAACAGGTTGGCCAGGGAGAGGTGAGTGGGATTTGAGGGGTTGAGACCGTGAGCTAAGGAACGATGAGCAGGTTGGAGGGCAGACAGGTTACGTACTCGAGGAGAGAGAGGAGTCCAAAAAACACAGAGAGATGAAGATGATCTTTATGGTTGGAGGACCTCAGAGGAACCGGTCCAAACCGTCAATGGAGGTAACCTTTTAGGAACACAAACAGGAGTAAGTTATSTCAAAGGTCTAYGCACAAGAGAATTTAGAGAAAAACTCAGAGAGTACTCTAAGGACTTAATACTCAGGGATCAAAGGGCTGACTGCAGACTCCTCTTATCCTCCTCTTAATGAAGATAGATGAATTGCAGGTGTGGGGCTGCAGACCTGCTGGAGATTCTGCCCTCCTGCAGGCTGTGCTCCAGGAGGACATTTAGTGAATGAATACTGGAACTGACAAACTCTAGATCCCAACAAAAGATAAAAAATAATGTGTATTTAAACATTATAAGTCTCCTATTAAATTATTAATAAATTCCGTATGAATTACTTTTTTGTTTCACAAGTTTTCACACATGCACGGACAAAAAAAAGGATGTTTTTT